TATAGATTATGAAGGCGAGGAATTTCAGGAAACGAAGAGACGACAGGATCGACGTGATATCGTGGAGAATTTGGAGAAGTTGGTGGATTTCTTGACCAAACGTGAAAAGTGTCTTCGAGAACGAGGGGCAATGGAAGAAGCAAGCGATGCGCAAAGACAACTGGATTGCGCATCTCAGGATTTAACTCGAATTTTATATGAGGCTATCGGCGAATATCGCGTTGGAAGTGACGGAGGGAGCGGACTATCGCTTTTGGGAAAATAATTTCTCTTTGTAATCGATTTATTATTAAACATTTCCATCCACAGGCCTACTATTTATTGAATTCATTTCAAGGTTCCTATGTACAGTATACCGTAAATCTTCTTTTTCAAGAATCGATTGTTTCTTTTTTTGCTGTACCATGCAGCATCATCTGCAGTATTATTAATGTCACTTCGACACCGTGTGGATAAGGTCATCGAGAACGTGAATTGCGGTAATAAAAAACTTTTCCTTCATGGTGTCGTTTTCATCATTTCAATTTTATTTAAGAGAAAACTGATTACGGAAATTAAGAAAAAAAAAATTTTTTTTTTTATACTTTTTTGTATATGCTAGAAAAATACACGGAAGATGCTGCGTAAAATGAGTTTTGTCACTCCTTCTATAATAAACAAATCACTTTGAAATGCTATACAATATATAAATAGAGAGATATACAATATATATACGAGAAAAATACAAATGGAATGAACTCTGTACTATAAACACTAACACCACTAGTTACTTTACAAATATTCATTGAGAAAGAGCATCCTCAACACCATTCATTCGCTCTTTCACCGACCACTGTATAAAACCAAATGTGTGACGCTATGTGTACATGCAATTAAAATTTCAAGTTTTTAAATATGTATAAAAAGTAGTAAAATAAAAATAATATCTATATAAACAAAGAAAAGAAAGATTGCTAGTTAATATATATTCGTAATTAACATCGCAATTAATTATTAAATAGTACAATGTAATATGAAGGTAAAATACTTTTTTTACACAACGATAAAAATGAAATTATATATCTTTTTTTGGGAGGTTTTTTTTTTTTTTTTTTTTTTTTTTTTTTCATCCTAACAGTCGCACATACTTACTATGCCTCTCTTTCGGAATTCTTCCTGTTCTTGTGCATCCCTTTTTTCGCCATCATCCATTGTTTGTTGCCCATTTTCCGTTTTATCTTTGTTAGAAGATGGTGATAATGCAACGATGGGCACTTGCGCGTTAAATTCCTCGCGATCATGCCACCTCTTAATCACTCGGTCCAGAGTTTTTAAGCTGACAGGCTTGGTCAAGAATTCATCAACCCCACTCTCAAATGCAATATCTTTATCCTCATCACTAGCTAAACCGGTGAGCGCAAATATTAAGCACCGATTTTGCATCGGTTTTATAGTGTCGAAATCGGCCGCGTTGTTGTCATTGGTGACGTTTACGAATGATGGTGAAAATCTCGTGGAAGACAACGAAGTTAACAAAAATGATGTGGTAGCAGGGATTATCTTGAATTTCCTTATCACAGTCTCTTTCCTTTTCAACCTCTCCTTTCGTTCACTGTATTCTTTCTCTATCCTACGAATTTCGGATGTTGCTACATTTCCGTTCATCACTGGCATTTGAATGTCTGTAGAGAATCCGGAAAGTTCGTGAACGAATTATACACAGCATAAACGAGATTAACCCGACTTACGAAAAGAAATTTTACCTACCCATGAACACTATATCGAAACCTTTGTTCAGATCGATCTCGATATCTTCCTGTTCCAGGGCTTTACGATACTTCTCCACGCCGATAGCCCCATTCTCGGCCTCTTCAAAGTCAATACCGCGTTTTCTCAAGAAGCTCGACAGTATCTTTCTATTCACCGCGTTATCCTCAACCACAAGTACTCTCGGTCTGCGAGGATCCACTTTTGGTGGTATGGACGGTGACGGGAATGCATTTATCTCGGGTACCGACGTCGACGAAAGTGACGTCAGGGAACCTCGCGATCGCGAATCTGGTATGGGCAAAAATTTTTCGGCGAAAGGTGGAGACGAGGACGATGGTGTGTGTGGCATGGTGCTGGAACGAATTAAAGGTATGGTCCGAAATTGTGAATAATTGTCAAATGGATCCGTCCGTTCGAGTATAGGCGTTTCGAGAGGAGACTGCGTGTCCTCTGATGACCCATTATCGTGGTAATGATGAATTTCGTCATGTGGAGATGTTGACACATTAGCTCCAACATCTTCCTTTGGACTGAAACATGCCAGTATTGCTGCCTCCATCTTGTGAGGGCCAATCGGTTTCGAAAGTACTACCACTTTACGTCGACCATCTTTTCTGCTTTTATCCAGCTTTTTTTGCCTGGTCAGCTCGCTCATTTCAATCTCATTTTGTATTCTTTCAATAGCCTCGCTGACTCTACCGTGATTTGCCAAAGTGGTGCAAAAGGCGATTGGTGACTTGGAATTGTCTTTTTCTTCGCGAGTGAATGATGCCTCAAACCACGAGGATTTCTGTTTATGTTCCTTACCGCTGTCGCTTATCAACAATTCCTTCAAAGCGTCCAGATCATTATTTATCACTATAAAATCACCATCAATAACACTGGACTCCTCTCCAAAAATGATATTTCTAACACCAAACCAATCCCTCTGAAGTCGTTCGGTGGCCTCCCGAAGTTTTCCGTCAACGTTCCTGAAGACAACCGTCTTTCCACTGAATTTCTGCAATACGGACTTTCGTTCCTTTTCTCTAATTTCCCTCGCACTAACCTCCTCCTCCTCTTCGCTCTCTGAGTTGTCGGCACGACTAGCTTCTTCAAAGTTCAACCAAATTTTTACCCTCGTACCAACGTTTACTTCACTCTCAACATCCAATCTTCCCCCCATCTTCTCAACCAACAACTTCACGATACTCAACCCCAGACCCGTTCCCACCTGAAGGGAATCTTCTTGCGCGAAAGGCTCAAATAGATGAGTAGTGAGAAAATCTGAGTCAATGCCACAACCGGTGTCAGTTATTGTAAAAAGAACGTGTAATCGTTCCGATTCTCCATTTGATGTCACCGTCGTATGGTAAGAGGATGGTACGCTTGCAAGCGAGAGTTGAACATAACCATTCTCCGTAAATTTAAGAGCATTTCTGGAGATTTTGTGTAATATGTACATGCATATTTAAATTGAATCCGATACCAATGTGACCTTAAAAATTCACAAATGTAACTTACCCGACAATCTAATTTTAATTAGACATAAATGGTGCACATCGTTAGATAATTAGAACAAAGATTCATGTAAAATTTATTTATCAAAAAAAAAAAAAAAAAGTGGACGCTCACATTCATAAGCATTTGCCTCACAGCACCGTCTTTGGACATCACCCACCACCCTCTTTCTCTGTATTCGCAATCAATGATCACCTCAACATTTTGATCGATCGCCAGCTTGCGATTCGGACCCAACAATTCACAAACTCGTTGCTTCCTCACCTGTCCGGACGTGACTGAAATTTCTTCAACGTCAAACCGTCGATCGCCTTTTCCGTAAATGGTTGAAGCCATTTGTTGTCCGACAACACATGATTCCGCAACCTCCTCCAAAATCTTAACTAGATTTATTTTTTCTTTTGGCCTGGCATGGTCGGTTCGGATGTGCCGGTGATGTGAGGGATCACTTTGTTGTTCTGACGAATTCACAGCGTCTTCGACATCACCATCCTGAGGTGGTGATGATAATTTCGAGTAGCGTAAAGCGGTGTTCAGTTCCTGTGAACTCTCTAATTTCACGTAGTCCAAGACATTATTGAGTATTGAGATTAGACTAGCGCCACACCTCTGAATGGTCTTGAGTAATTCTAATTGTGTCTCGTTCATAGGGTTTTCCGCCATCAATTCACAACTGGCCAGTATCCCGTGTAAGGGTGTTCTCAATTCGTGTGACATCGAGCTGATGAATGCACCTTTCGCCCGATCGGCCACAATGACACGCCTCTTCAACACTTCACTGACCACATTCACTCCGAAATTTCCCAGATACACGCGCTCCTCTTCTTCGAACTGTCGGACGAGATCTTTGGTGAGCGCAATGAGAAATCCAAAGGCGTTTCGTGAGTTATCATATATGGGAACCACTATGCCCGAGTGCATGTCACAGGGGAAAAGTGTCGGTATAGGAGGAAGGGCGTTTTGAAATATGTAACCTTGGGAGTATGTTTGCATCAGGTGCGTTAAAAATGAAGTTGTGTTGGGTGTGTTGATCGCATCCGGAGAAATCGTGAGTCCGGATGATGCTAAAAACTTTAGACGTTTGGTGGGGGGTTCCGGAGGTGAATTATTCAGTAGGAAATCGTTGTTTGATGGTCGACTGGTAGTAGAGGTGATCGGTCGTGAGGACAAGGCAGGCATTTCAAGGATATATATGATGTCGACATCCAACGTTTCGCGGATCAGTGTCACCGCCTTATCAAAATATTGCTGCATGACCGGATCGCAATCGGAACTGCGACCACCGACCCACGCTGATTCCTTTCTCTTTGAAGCGTTATTCTCGTGTGCCAATTGAGTTTCGAGGCAGAACTTGCTGAACTCGGCGATACTCTTCTGCATCTTATTCCTCACTCCCAACCTTAACCGATCGGCCCAAAGTTCCAATTCTCGCATGACCACCATGGCAAAATCTCGTAATTGCTTACGGTCCGATTCGCTAAAATCACATCTTGGCTTACTGTCTATCAAACACAAGGTGCCAACATTATGACCATCTTTAGTTCGCAAAGGAGCACCGGCATAAAATCTGACAAAAGGTGAATTGGTGACAAGAGGGTTTTTCTTAAATCGCCAGTCCTTCAGTGCATCACAAACCACAAGTGGTTCACCATCTTTTTGTAAGATGGCGTGACCACAAAAACTAACTTCTCGCGAAGTCTCCGAGTAACCCAAACCTTCTTCAGCTTTAAACCATTGGTGGGTAGTGTTTACAAGAGAGATCAAGGTGATGGGAACCTTAAAATGCTCTTTGACCAGTCCAACCAGGCGAGTAAAATTTACGTCCTGTGAAGTGTTCAATATTTGGAATCTCCACCTGTGAAAAAGAATATTTTTATACGAATGAGCTTTATATGTTCATTGTGTCAACCAAATGACATTCGAAGGAAGGACTCACAATGCTCTCCTGCGCTCAGCCTCATTAGGAGGCATCGGGGGAGGAAGATAGGTCTCCTCTTCCTCTTCCTCCTCTCCCTCCCCTTCTTCTTCCTCTTCATAATCATGATCGTCGTCGTCGTCACAACCATCCTTACCGTCACGATCATCACCATCACCGTTATCAGTAGTCGTCTCCGATTCTGACAAGGATTCTTCTTCCTCCTTAAGGACAGCTTGTGTCAAAGACATACTGATCACCACATTACTGCAACTATCGCATTCAGAAAGTGGCGAAACTGGTACGCTACATCTACAACTGCCATCTCTAGATTTTTTTCCTGACGATCGTCGTGGTTTTTTTGGAATCGACACCGGATCAAATTTTCCCTGAGCATAACCTTCCAAGAAGTCTTGCCAATGGTCTCCGTTATTCGCCAGATCTTCGCTAGCAGGAGTGGAGGCCTGTCCTTCGAAAAATTGTGGACCTGATGATGTCGGACGCCTGGGAATTTCCAGGGGAATCGACAAATCACCGGCGCCAGGTGTGTAAGAATGTGCCCGGTTATGATGAGAGTTTTTCACTTCGAAAGCATCTGACATTGCTTTCTCATGAATTGGTTGTAACGAAGAAGAAGAGTTTTGAGATATCTCATCGAAATTTTTGCCGATAGACGAATAAAGACTTGTCGAGGGTTGATAGTTTCTATCAGCTCCACCATCGGTTGGAGATCCTTGGAACACATCAGCCGTATTCGCTTGTTTTTCTTTGGTTAAACCACGGGTAAGTTCACTGGTGAATGTTACAGGATTGGAATCAACGCTATTTGAATTTCGCTTCGTATAAGTTAACGACATCGTTCTCCTCGGAACTGTGATCCCACCAGGTCCAAATTTTCCTTCCCTTCCAAATGCACCCCGCTGCCCCATTTCGTAGTACGAAATTGGATCCGCGATTAGGCTCAACACCTTTCTTTCCCTTGGAGGATCCGCTGTGAGTTTGTTGTTTACGTTGGAATTGATAGAGTTGATTGCATGATTTCCTGAGTTTGAAGGTGTTTCTGTCGTGGTTTGATGTATGTTGTCTGAAGTTGAAATTAGATCATTTATTGACTGCTCCGACTGTGCTAGAATATCCTTGGTCGAGTCCATTCTTAGGATATAGATAGTAATAACCCGAGTGACACAGCAAATGTAGTCTTGGAATCAATGCAACCAACGTGGACGAATAATAGCAATAATATAAGCCCAAGCTGAAAATTTGAATTGAAAGGTGAGATCTAGCGTGGTTAAAAGGTAGAAATATGTACAGGCAACCACGAGGGAAATGATAATACTCTCAACTAATATTTATACTTTTATTTTGTTCATTAAAAGAAAAAAAAAGAAAAAAATTATCAGCCTTTCGACAGTTGGGTGTTTGAGGCAGATAAAGAGTTGTCCTGACGGTCGTGTTATCACAGGTAGCAATAGATAAAAAAAGTTGGTAGTATATGGGTCGTTAATGGTCGAAAAGTATTAGAAAAGGATGAAATTTTTTATTTATTTATTTATTTTTTTTCTATTTGAAAGGGAAAACTCCCTAAATACTAAGAATTGCGTTACTTTTTCGGCTCGTTAAGAAGGCAAATGGAAAAGGTATCATATGTATTTATTAATTTTTTTGTGTTTACGTCACTTTAAGTTGTATATAATGAACAAAATGCGCAGTCAAAAAAAAAAAAAAGGAATACTCGCCGGGCAACTTGCATATTATGCCCGGTAATCATATTTCTTCTAAAGAGTGTAGGTAGATGTTGACGATACGAAGACTCTGGGTAATTATACTCATGTGATTAGAGCATTGACGAAAATAAATTCGCCAATCTGAAATTATTAAATATGAAACTCGATGGATAATATAAAATAAGGTTTCTTTGCGCTATCACGTGAAAATATATAACGCGTCACACTATATTTTTATTATGCGCAAGTAAAATTTTCGAAGTATGCACATAGAAACGTAATACGCACGCACGCATGTACCAGTAAATTAACAAAACAATGGCTAAAAAAAGATCTAAAACAAGCACGTGAGATTAAAGTGATATTGTGTTAACAGGCACTTTAATAATATCAACAACTCTAGACCGTATTTTGTTTATTGAATCGTACTATACCTATTAAAAAAAATTTGAAAATTTTCTACCATTAACGTGGAATCGGTGATTAATCTATGCGGATCATGCCGAAGCTAAATGCTAGAAACTGATTACGTAAACGCAAAGAATTTCCTATAAGTCCGCGACTCTAACTCGATTCGTGCACATCAAGAAAATTCCTTTTTTTGCTGGTTCCCAATGCGTTACTTCGAAGAGATCGGGTGTTTATTATTTCATTTGTGTCTTCTCTTTTGACCATAAATTGTCGAGTCACACGTGCCTCCCCATGTTTTCGTGTCGCATTGTCGCATCGGGATTTCCGTCATTTGATGTGATATATACAAACTTTGGATCTTCGCTTATTCAGCAATATTCGGTACGGTTAATTATTATCGAAGGAAGGCAGGATCTAGAGAACTCTAATTCTTGAAGCCAATTCAAATTTGGGTTGCCTTTAAGTTATAGACCTGAATTTTTCATCTTGCACTTTTTGTCACCTTTAAAAAGTCTCTGCAGGCGCATAGTGATTGATTGCGACTCTCGATGGAGAAACTCCTCTTTATAGTCTTCCAAGGGCCATGCCATGCTTACTGCATTAAGCATAGTCTTCCAAGGGCTATTGCTTACTGCATTAACCATTAATGCATGACAATGGCGTTCGTAAACAAGTCGCTCCGTATTAGTTTCTTGTTGTTGATTGACTCGAAAAGGTACATGTACAGTATATGCGATAAAATTATGTGGCACTTTTTTTTTCTTCCCATGTTCAGCTGTTCTTGTCATACATTTCTAATACATCTAATTGCCTTTTCTAATTGCACGATCGTGATCGTAATGCGTTTCGTTGTCCCACATAATTATGTCTCATTGTACAATCGTGTTTACTACGTGAAATATTATGTTGTACGTCCTATGACTTCTTTTGTTGTCGCTAAAGAGCATTAATACACACATTGGACAAATTATAGGATTTACTGTGTACTGTATGTCGATTATTGAGAAAAAAAATGAATTCCAAGTCTCTTCTTAAATATATAGTATACATAAAGACTTTTTTTTATTCCTCAGCAAGGCTAGCATTGCATGAAGACTATAATGAAAGTTTTATATGTACAGTATTTATCTAAAAACTTCAAGTCTTAAAAAAATAAAGGAGAGTATTATGGCGCACTTTGCGTTTGATGCCCTCATTCCGGCCGGAATTTTTATATAATTTTTAACCTGCAATCAGGTTAATATGGCTTGTCTTTATTATATACTATACTGTATGTTTAAAAATAAGATATTTACAACTTTTATGGCCTTCACATATTATTTCACCTATTATAAAAGTTAAATCTTTAAAAAAAAATAATATTTTGTCTTCTTGACTTGAATTATTCCTAAGCCAGTTAGATTATTACTTTCAATTTATTTCTATATTATATATTAATGAATTCCTTTTTTTTTTTAACTCACAACCATGCCATATAGCTTAATCTTTATTGAAAAATTTATGTAACTATCTATAATATTACAGATTTTTCACATAATGACTAACTCATCATTGTATCAAAGTATCTTCTATTAGAATCTTGAAAAGGATCTTTTTTGTTATCTTTTTTTTTTTTTTTGAGTACCCATAGCCAAGTTAGATTATTAGTTTATTAATTAATTAAAAACAAAAATATATTTTCATTCAAGCAACATGATATATAATATACAGTAACTAAACTATTATTCTAATCTAAATAACTTGTTGTAAGTATAAAAGCCTCTAAATTCAGTCTTAAAAATCTTTGGATAAAGACTCTTCTAGTTTATTATATTATTGTCAGTAGGTTGTTACTGTTATATGTCATATCATATCAAGCTACTGGAATACAGAAAACTATAAAAGAATAGGTTGAAAAAAGATGAAAGGATATTTAAAAATGTCTAAGTAAATAACAAGAAAACAAAAGAGGAAAAAATTAAAAAAAATTTTTCAGCTTTCTCCAAAGATCTGTTTTTTAAAACTTTTTCTCAATAAGAAATATTTGATTAGAATATTATTTCTTTTCTTAATTGTTTAAGAAACTTATCCATTCTTGATTTTAATTTTTATAATTTATTACTATTCACAACCATTTTTTTTTAAATTAAAATATACACCTGTATAATTTAAATTTTCTGCAGTACTGCTACTGCCTTAATTTTTTTTTATCGATTCTTCTAGTATTAGCAAAGTAGGGGATCTTGTTGCAATTACTCTTACTAATACTTCATATGTTTTTCTTTTTCAGTTTCTTTTTTCTATTTTTTAATTGCTGTTACTGATTTTTTTGCCAGGTTTTGTGATAAATTACTAGTATACCTTTCTTCAGCAAAACAGTTGTGTCATGTAACTCATGTTCTGATCAACAAAAAAGAATGTTTCCTTGTATAAAAATTTAAATAAAAACTTAATATTTTATGTTCTAAACTTTTTTATCATTTTTATAAAAATATCTATCATTTCTACTTTTATTCCCTATTTAGTCATGTAGAAGTTGCCTCCATCAAAATCCTCTTTTCAACAAGTAAATTCTGAATCATTTTCAGAGCGAATTCCTCTCAAACAACTGGCTGTAATTGCATAATCCAGAAAATTTGTATTAATATAGGCAAATTTGCTATATCTCCAAGATGCATATGCTTCATAGAGACTCAAGTGATAGTTAAGTTTGATTTCATTTTTGTCATAAAAAACTGAAATACCTTTTCGATTGCTTCATATTTGTTTCTATCTAACCTTGAAAGTTTATGCTCGACAATTTTTTGCCGTATACTTGAAGTTATATTAGTAGGAAAAATACCCATTGTATTATTAAACAAGAGGCTGTTTATCACAACAACTTTTTCTTTGTGCAGGTACTGCTGGCTTGTTTCTCGTAATTCTTTTGATATATTGAAAACATATGTAAAAATTCCACATTCCCTTGTCAACAGATATCTAAAACTTGTTGTCAGTACTACTTAAGTATGAAATTAAACATATATGAATTTTATATATTCAGTAATTGTCAATGTTCCTTGATTAAGTTTTGATATATCATCAGATCGGGCAACTCTTCTTCATAGTTGAAAAATTTCCAGTACTATACCTAGCATATTATTTAAAACTTTGGGTTCCATCCAATTATGATATACAGCAAGCATCACCTTGCCTGAATCTTTATCACGAATTATAATTTTTTTATTACATTTGGTAGGCAAGATATAGTATCAATAGCTTGTATATGTAAAAACAACAAATTTACTTTTTCATATATCCACTTTTCTTTGATTTTTTTTTCATTATATCTAGACAAGGATCCAAGAAATATCATTTTTATGTCATGGGTATCAAAAAAATATTTTTGTATCATCAGGTTCTCCCTTACCTGAAATATAAAGGTGTTAACTAGGTTTTTTATTATTAAATTATTTGAACTTACAAAATTTTTATGTGTTTTTATTTTATTTTTTTTTTCAATTTGTCAATGTCTACTTTTAAAGCAACTGTAGTTTCTACATCATCAGCATAACAAAATCTCAAGAACTTTACAAATTTTTTTTACCAATTTTAATATTTTTTTATTAGCATTAATAAAATATATATAGCAAGTATATATACTTTGATATATTTATATTTGAAAAAGAATCGATATTAGGATCAGACACAGCCAGGTAAATAATTATTAATTTAGTATCAGTAAATTTTTTTGGCAAAGATTTTTGGGGATTTTTGGACATAAAACTTCAGAGATATTTTATCGTCATTAGAAGTCTTCGAAGCAAAGATTTATATATAGAACTTCAAAAAATTTTGAATGTTTTAAATTGTAATAAAATAATTTTACATTATTATTAAATTATTTATTTTTAAAAATTTATTTATT